TACCTGAGATTTGCTTCAAAATAGATAAAAAAGATATCACTTTTCACTTATCAGGTTAACAAAGATCAGAAAAACTGGTAACGCCATATACATTGGCCAAGATGTGTGGAAACATGCTCATTCAAATACTGTTGGTGGGAGTGTAAATTAATCTCTTTGGAGGGCTCTATCAAAGTTTAAAATGCACATTTCCATTAACCAAGATATAATATAACTTCTGATAATTTATCCTCACACATATACTCACACATACACAAAGAAGTGTATACAAGAATACTGACTACAACAAAGCTTATATTAAGCCCAAGACTGGAAACAATTTACATGTCTATCAGTAGGGAACTGACTGAATAAATTACAGTAAAATACAAAAATATGAAAATGCTATAGAATACAATTTAACTTTAATAAGAAAATAAAATGGTTCTATGTGTACTAATAAGAGACAGAATCCAATAAGTACGTTCACAGGAAAAAAAAACAAGATTCAGAAGAGTATAACACTGTTCAACCAGACATTCACTGCTTTGATTTCTGGCATTGCCACACACCAAATAACCTAAAAACTTCCTACAACACAACATCTAGAAATGCTGATTAAATTATAACTAAAATCTTTTAAATGTATAACTAAGCTCAAAAGTAAGGGAAATCTCTCACTGAGGTATGGGATGGAGGAAAGAGGAACCTTTACTTTTTACTTTTCCACCTACTTTTATGTTATAACCAATAAGTATTACTTTTGAAATTAAAAAAGAAATCAGTCCTGAAGTACGCTGAAAAAAGATGCTATAAATTTAATAATCCATGCCACTCCCTGAATAACTAAAGCAATGTAATCTCAGGGCAAATTTTCAGGTATAACAGCTACTATTTTATCCAATTTAATTCAACATTTACTACTAAGTGCAAGAGCCTTTGAAAAATAATAGCAAGATGAGGTTCCTATTTTTTAAGGAGTTTAGAATCTGTGAGGAAGAATAAGGAGGCAAAAGAAATCAATAGTACACGATAGAACATGAAAATGGTCATCCTCTGCATCAAAATTTGAAAACTAAATGTTTAAAATTCCAATTTCTGGTTCGTAACATCAGAACCCCAAACCAGTCTGACATTAGTTTAGATTTTCCATTACGTTTTTCTTTTTTTTCTCCATTACGTTTTTTGAACTCATCCATCCATTAATCATTTGTGACAATGACTGTACTTACATTAGTGGCAACATACAATTATTAATACAGTTTCTATAGGCTTTGTGATCTCTTCCCACAAATGAATTCTCAGTTGTTTTCTTCCTTTGATTCGTATACCTGTTAATAGGCCACATTTATTATATCAGTACTACTAATCAAAAATAACTGAATTCCCTGGTGGCAGAGTGGTTAAGAATCTGCCTGCCAATGCAGGGGACACGGGTTCAAGCCCTGGTCCGGGAAGATCCCACATCCGCGGAGCAACTAAGCCCGTGCGCCACAACTACTGAGCCTGTGCTCTAGAGCCCGCGAGCCACAACTACTGAGCCCGTGTGCCACAACTATTGAAGTCCACGTGCCTAGAGCCCATGCTCCGCAACGAGAAGCCACTGCAATGAGAAGCCCGCACACTGCAACCAAGAGTAGCCCCAGCTCGCTGCAACTAGAGAAAAGCCCGTGCGCAGCAACGAAGACCCAACACAGCCAAAAATAAACCAATTAAAAAAAAAAAAAAAAAAAGGAATGGTACTTGTAGAGGCAATAGAGAGAAGTACTGAACTGTCAGGCTCTGGAGCCAGCATGCCTAGCCAGCTACCTGTGTAATCCTGAGCAAGTTTCTTAAAACTCTGTGCCCCACTTCCCTCTTCTGTACAATGGGGATAATAATAGTAACAATCTCAGAGTTATTGGTTAAGTGAGTTAATGTAAAGCAGATTTTAATATTTGACCACTATTTTCCAAATAGATGAATAAAACTCCAAAATTTTAATAGCACTCTGTTGTTGAGGCTGGTGTGAAACAGAGAGTCACATGTTCTGCTTACTCCTAACCCTTTTGGGGGGCAATCTGGAAATCCCACTTTGAGAATTTATCCCACTGATATTCTTGCACAGGTACGCAAAGAGAGGTATACCAGTTTTTTATTTCATACTGAAACCAAAATGTCCATCAAAAGTGATGACTAAATAAAGAATGGCAAATTTATTACATGAAACACTATGCAGCAGATTATTTTTTTTAATAGAGTGAGTACACGCATTTACTGACATGGAAAGATCTCAAATAAGTGAAAAATTCAAGATGTATACAACAGTGCACATGATAGGTTACCTTTTGCATAAAAAGAGGCTGAAATATCAAAATACATATTCATCCTTGTTTCTTTTTGCACTAAGGGAAACTAGTAACAGTGTGAAGAAACTGGGCAGATGGGAGACAGGATGGGAGGGAAACTTCAAACTGTGTATCTTTTTATTTTATTTTTTTGCTTTTTTAGCTACATAAATATCTTACCTATTCAACTGTCAATTTCTACAGTATTTTTAAGTGTCAGGTATACACTTTAAGCTGGCAAATGTTAGCTGCAATTATTACTATTGTTGTTACTAGCAATAGCAGTATTATAAGTATTATTATCATTAAGAAGCTCAAAATAGCTCTTCTGAAGCTTTTTCCTTACTCCCTCTGCACAGAGCCTTCTCTGACCCCCAGACTATTTAAGGAATTTATCATTTTCTACTTTAGTGTAAGCGGCTTAAGGGGCAGGTCAATGTCTTGTTCATTTTTAATATCCTAGGAGCCTTGCTTGTACCTAGTCGATACAAATATTCTGGAATAACAGTAACCTACAAGTACTCCAAAGAAAATAGTGACCATTTCTAACGGGATTAGACTCTATCATTAATTATAAGACCTGAAAACTGAAAAACTTGAATAACTGGATTTGCTAACATTCTTTCGGCTACTGACCAGCCAAAATCTCCTCTCTTTGACTAAGTTTTTCTTTCCCCGGGACTTCCCCAGACACTGACATCATGTCCCAAGCCAAGACACAACATGCACCAACTGTTTAACTCACTGCAATCTCTGAAATGTCTTTTGTCCTAAATCCCAACACCCTGGTACATCATTCCTATCGAAAAAGCATTTGAGTGTTTCCTTTTAGATAGAGGTTCACATATTAGTCAGTGCATAAAGTGCCCTTTTAACTGGAGAAGACCTAACACATGATTCGTAATTCGCTCAGTGTTTTGTTTGTGCTAGTATGGAAGGTATTCTATAATTGACTGCTCGCTCAGTAGCTCAATTCTAGATGTCATTCCAGCACACCAAATACTCCACTGACAGCTCAACAGTCACTTTTCATACAGGCCCCTCCCCTTCCCTCCTCCCTCAACCCCCATCAGCTCAACAGCTCCTTCCCTCATACTGACACACTGACAGTTCAGAAGTCCCCTTCCACAAGCAGTCCTCCCCTGCAGCTGCAAGACCACCTCCCCGAGTCGCATCATCCGGCGACCCAATTCGGTCCCCAATATCATCCCTCTCCCAGCCAATCCAAATCACATCATCAGTCTCTTCCCCAAGAAACAGGCAGCTTTAAAGCCTTTCCCAGCAAGTACGCAACTGACAGCTCGACACCAGATTCCCCTAGTATCCTCTCCTCTTCTCTCCGCTCCTACCCCACGCACTGGCTCTTTTCTCTCAATCACTCGTTCGCCCTGGCTTCCCCGAAAATTCACAGCCTTGTTCCCTAAATACGCTCTCCGCTCCAGACTATTTAAGGAATTTATCATTTTCTACTTTAGTGTAAGCGGCTTAAGGGGCAGGTCAATGTCTTGTTCATTTTTAATATCCTAGGAGCCTTGCTTGTACCTAGTCGATACAAATATTCTGGAATAACAGTAACCTACAAGTACTCCAAAGAAAATAGTGACCATTTCTAACGGGATTAGACTCTATCATTAATTATAAGACCTGAAAACTGAAAAACTTGAATAACTGGATTTGCTAACATTCTTTCGGCTACTGACCAGCCAAAATCTCCTCTCTTTGACTAAGTTTTTCTTTCCCCGGGACTTCCCCAGACACTGACATCATGTCCCAAGCCAAGACACAACATGCACCAACTGTTTAACTCACTGCAATCTCTGAAATGTCTTTTGTCCTAAATCCCAACACCCTGGTACATCATTCCTATCGAAAAAGCATTTGAGTGTTTCCTTTTAGATAGAGGTTCACATATTAGTCAGTGCATAAAGTGCCCTTTTAACTGGAGAAGACCTAACACATGATTCGTAATTCGCTCAGTGTTTTGTTTGTGCTAGTATGGAAGGTATTCTATAATTGACTGCTCGCTCAGTAGCTCAATTCTAGATGTCATTCCAGCACACCAAATACTCCACTGACAGCTCAACAGTCACTTTTCATACAGGCCCCTCCCCTTCCCTCCTCCCTCAACCCCCATCAGCTCAACAGCTCCTTCCCTCATACTGACACACTGACAGTTCAGAAGTCCCCTTCCACAAGCAGTCCTCCCCTGCAGCTGCAAGACCACCTCCCCGAGTCGCATCATCCGGCGACCCAATTCGGTCCCCAATATCATCCCTCTCCCAGCCAATCCAAATCACATCATCAGTCTCTTCCCCAAGAAACAGGCAGCTTTAAAGCCTTTCCCAGCAAGTACGCAACTGACAGCTCGACACCAGATCCCCCTAGTATCCTCTCCTCTTCTCTCCGCTCCTACCCCACGCACTGGCTCTTTTCTCTCAATCACTCGTTCGCCCTGGCTTCCCCGAAAATTCACAGCCTTGTTCCCTAAATCCCCTCTCCGCTCTCCCCCTCCTCCCCATCCCCTTCACCGCTGACAGCTCAGTCACTTCCATCCCCATGTGGCTGCAACCTCCTGCCCCACTCCTTTCCGTTGACAGCTCTGGGTCGGCTCCAAGCTCCCCTCCCCAAGGCCTCCCCACACCTCGGCCTGGGCCTCCCGCGGTGCCCCCCGCCCCGGAGGACAGCTCCACTCACCCACTCTCCCGCATCACGTTGCTGTCCCCGCAGTCGCAGGCACCGCCGGCCTGGCTGCGGAACATGTTGAAGTCGTGTCCGGTGTGGTCACCCTGGTGGAAGCACTCGGCGCACAGCGACATGCAGGGAGAGATGCCGCACGTCCGGCAGCGGTAGGCCACGAAGTTGGCTGTCCAGACCAGGCCGCAGAGCGCCGCGGGGTCGTAGGCCCGCACCGCCGCGCAAAACTCGTCGTAGCCTCCGCCGCCCGCCAGAAGGCACTTACACCACTCCAGGGCCTCCTCCTCGGCCGCCCCCGAACCGCCCCCGCCGCCGGCCGCCGCCGCCTCCTCGCCGTCTGCAGCCGCAGCCAGCGGCCGCTCGGCGCTCAGCACCCGCTCCAGCAGCGCCTGCAGCTCCTCGGCACCTGCGCGGTTGTCCGGCCGGCTGAGGGCCGCCTTCAGGTGCGCGGCGGTGGCCGCCTTGTCGAGGGCCAGCCCGGGCGCGGGCATCTCGGCTTGGGGTGGCTGCGGACCCCCGACGGCCGCCGCCGCCGCCATGATGAGAGCTCAGAATTTGGAGAGTCCAGGGCCGGCGGCTCCTCCTGAGAGGGTGGGGGAATTGGCTGCTGCGATTGCTCGGTCCTCCCAACTCTCGCGATACCCCGGGGCTGCCGCGCACCTCTGCCTGTGTCCCCGCCCCTGCACACGCCCCCTCGCGCTGGGGTGCCTGCTTCCCGACCCTCGCGCTTGGGACGGATCTCCTGTTTCTTCCCCCGACCTCTTGGCTTTCAACTACAATTGAGAGCCACTAAAATAAGGGACCTGACTTTAAAATTATTTAATATGGAAAATCTTTAATATGGACCATTTTTCCTCTATTTACCTGGGCTACAGGAATACAGACAGCATCTTTCAGCTGTTTTTTACGCATCTGCATTTCGTTCTGAGATGTAGATCCCCACTGTTATCAAACCCTTAATTACGATTGAATTACTATTATTATTGAAAAACCCTCCTAATTTTTCGCCCTGTATCAGTTCTTACCCTCACAGCTATTACCAGTTTAATCTTCTAAAGTACATTTTTTAGAGGATTAAAATATATTCTTACTCTCACTCTCCTGTTCAAAATCTTTAGTGGAAACAAAAGTCAAAAACTCCTTGAATCTTCTCTTAATGACCACCACCAACCTATCTTTCTATCATTATCTCCTTGTGCTACTCTGTTTGCCATTTGAAAGAGACCAATGGGACTCTTCAGTGTTTTCTGAAAGATGCTTTATGCCTGTAGTCTTTATTGTTCCTAGTTCCCCCCCTACTCCACCCCATACAGTCGCCCCACACTCCTGTTCTAGTAATGTCTGCCCATTTCATTTCCCTTCTTCAAAAATGGCTCTGAGTTGGTCCGTGGGTCGGTGGCCTAGAGCTCGGTTCTCGGCTTTCATGTTCAGAGGTGGGAGGGACACGGGACAGGCCCGCACACCTGACCTGCCCGGAGAGGATCCCCGCACCCAGTAGAAGGAGGGGACTAAGCAGGGAAAAGGACTCATAGCTTCTGATGCGAGTCACGTGCTGGAAGCTGCCCTGGAGCAGATGGACGGGATCATTGCGGGCACTAACACAGGGGTGGATATTAGCGATTGTACCTGTGAGCCTGCACTGGCTTCCGCGGCTTCCTACATGAACCCCTTCCCGGTGCTCCATCTCGTCGAGGACTTGAGGCTGGCCCTGGAGACGCTGGAGCATTCTCAGGAGAGAGCAGCCCTCCTGAGCCAGATCCCAGGCCCAACAGCTGCCTACATGGTTCGAGGAGAGCTGGCTGCGGCTTTCCGGCTCACTTTACACCTGGCATGGGCGCCGATCCCTCCCTCCAGTGCTGCTAAGTACTACTGACTCAGGCTGCAGTGTTTACAGAAAACTTTATGAAGCTTCAAGAAAATGATAGGTCCATAATTCCTCAGTCTGAAATCCTTAATTCCTCAGTATGAAACCCTTGGGTCCACGTGCATTTTAGAACTCAGAGCTTATTAAACTTTAGAAAGGTGAGACAGTGCATGTGTACTGTACTGTATGTACCATCTCTAGCAGATACAGGGCAGGAAACCCGTGAACATTTCTTCAGCAAAACTTGTGAATATCTGCATGAGTGGGATAAACAAAGACTACAAATAGATAATTTACAGTGACCATGTATTTTTACCTTGTATAGATGTGCCTGAATTTATGAAACCATTTCTCTAATATTGAATTGAAATTATTTTTAATCTTTCACTAATAATATGGCATTGCTGTGCACACACACACACACACACACACACACACACACAAAATGGCTCTGAACTTATTTGATGATACAACATTTTGCTTTCACTATAAAAACCTCATCCCCACCACACTAATAATTGGTACATTTCTTTTTTTTTTTTTTTTTTTGCGGTACGCGGGCCTCTCACTGTTGTGGCCTCTCCCGTTGCGGAGCACAGGCTCCGGACCCGCAGGCTCAGCGGCCATGGCTCACAGGCCCAGTCGCTCCGCGGCATGTGGGATCTTCCCAGACCGGGGCACGAACCCGTGTCCCCTGGATTGGCAGGCGGACTCTCAACCACTGCGCCACCAGGGAAGCCCTGGTACATTTCTTGAGGGCAAAAGATGAATCTTCTTCATCATTGCCCATATGTGTTCAAACAGTTGCCTGATTATTGTTGTTAAATGGAATATAATTACAATAGATAATTTTTGTTGCCCCATTCTTTATATATGCTATTTATTTTAACTCTCTCAATAATCCTATGAAGTAAGGAAACTAAAACTTACAGAGGTGATTTATGTGTCCCCAAAACACACAGCTGGCAATCAAATGAGATGTGACTAGAACCCAGGTCCATCTGAATCCAAAGTCCTGCTCTTTCTACATCAATGCTTCCCAAACCTGCCTGATCCTAAGACTCACCTTAAGTTCTTACAAAAACAAATTCCAGAGCCCCACCCCAGACCCAAGGTATCAAAATCTCCAGAGGTTACACTGCCCTACCTAACAGAATCTGAATCTTGAAAAAGATTATCATTAATGATCTTTCCAGAACTAAAAATCTACAGCTTTTTAAGTTTCTATAGCTCACCTCCAGAGAGCTGGGTGTATTATTAAAAGTAACTTAGTAACACATGGCAGAGGACAACCAAGAATGAAAAAAAACTGTAGGAGAAGCGATCCAAGGAAGTAGAATGAGTATTTCCAATCCATAACCAGTGATGTAAATGAACCTAACATAACAAAAACATACTATATCACTTGTCTAGACTCTCTACATTAGTAAAGCATTTCACAATCATCATTTAACAGTGATAAATAATTCAAATATTTCTCAATAATTCTCTTTATGAATCATCAAATTATAAACCAAATAAAATCCGGGAGCATTTCAAACTAAGGTAAAACTAGTGTGTATTCACTAATCAGTGTCTGTGGGTTCAGGCAGTTGGGGAAGTGTGCTGGTATCTCTCCAGGATTGCTTTCCTGTGGAGAATAACAAGGGCGCCTGCTCTGCTTGACCACGATAATGCATGCTGCACATGCAACCTTTTCTGCACTCCTTAGTGGTCTCTACACGCTCTGTGAAATTCCTACAAATTTCTACAAAATTCCACCACTTGTCACCAGTGCCTCTTTTTTTCTGTAACAAAAACAAACAAAAAAACTTCAAATGCCACCCCCTATTTCAGTTACATAGACATTGCAGTGCACATACAGAAATCTGGACATTTGCCAGATTTCCCACCAACTGTGTTCATGAGGATATCAGATATGTTCAAAATCAGAGAACCATTAAAAATAACTGGCAATAACAAGAATAGAAATAACCCAAGTGAAAAATGGGCCAAAAATGTGAATAGACACTTTACCAAAGAAGATATCTAAGCGGCCAATAGACATAGAAAACATGCTCAGCATCATTAGTCATTAAGAAAACGCAAGTCAAGGAACTTCCCTAGTAGTGTAGTGGTTAAGAATCCGCCTGCCAGTGCAGAGGACACGGGTTCCATACCTGGTCCGGGATGATCCCACATGCTGCGGAGCAACTAAGCTTGTGTGCCACAACTACTGAGCCCACGTACCACAACTACTGAAGCCTGCATGCCTAGAGCCCATGCTCCGCAGCGAGAAGCCACCGTAATGAGAAGCCCACGCACCACAACAAAGAGTAACCCCTGCTCACCGCAACTAGAGAAAGCCCATGCGCAGCAACAAAGACCCAACACTGCCAAAAATAAATACATAAATTAATTTTTTTAAAATGAAGAAAATGCAAGTCAAAACTATGAGACACCACTATACACACTAAAATGGCAATAATCAGAAAGAGAGACAGTAACAAATGTTGGCAAGGATATGGAGAAACAGGACCCCTCATACAACATTGATGGGAAGGTAAAATGGTACAGCCTCTTGGGAAAACAGTTTGCCAGTTATGTCCTTAAAATGTTAAACATAAATTTACCATAGAACTAAACAATTCCACCCCTAGGAATCTACCCAAGAGAATTTAAAACATATACCCACACCAAGACTTGTAGATGAATATTCAGAGCAGTATTATTCATAGTCAAAAACAAAACCTAGAAGTGATCCAAGGGTCTATCAATTTGTAAATGGATAAACAAAATGTGGCATAGTCATATAATGCTATACTATTTAACAATAAAAAGAAATGAAGTACTGATGCATGCTACAACATGGGTGAATTTCAAAAATGTTATGTCAGTGAAAGAAGTCAGACACACAAAAAAGTGTATATTGTATTATTCCATTTATCCAAACTGTCCAGAAAAGGTACATTTATAGAGACACAAAATAAATTAGCAGTTGTTTGAAGCTGGGGGTTGAGAACAGGGAGTGCCTGCAAATGAGCACAGAGATCCTCTTAGGCTGATAGGAATGTTCTAAAGATGGAATGTGGTGATGGTTGCACAACTATGTAAATTTACTAAAAATCATTTATTTCTACTCTAAAAACAGGTGAATTTTATGGTATGAAATTATACTGTAATAAAACAGTTAATAATAATAATTAATATACTTGCTATTTGAGATGAGTGAAATCATCAAATTTCTGTCTAGGTAGAAACTATATTACTGCTTTAGCTTTCAAAATCAGCATGACAGGCTCTCAGATCTTAGCCTCTCCTAGGATGTCTGGGGCTTGTATCATTTGAATCCAGAAAGTCTGACATTTTTCTCTTTCAACTCATTAGCGTAATATAAAAACTGTTCTAAATTACCTCTCAAGTCACTGTGCTGTGTCATGCGGAATTCCTTCAACGATCATATTTCCATGAGGGAAAGCCAGATTGAAATCCAACTGCACCCATTTAAATACATTTAAAGACTATACCTCACAAAATTACATTGAATCACTCTATGGAAGACATTGAATAAATAATAATACAACATACTGCTGTTAAAGAAAGCCACAAAACACCATCTAAAACATTATGTGCATTTATGTACTGCATCTTAATTTATGTGAATAGGAATCTTGTGATATTTCTAAA